AACAGGGCATTCAAACACTAAGCCATACCTCCATTTGGTCCCATGTCATGTTGGCCTTTATACATTGTGGGTGTCACTACAACAGCATTCAATCCATCAGCTTGACCACTGTGGTTTGCAACAGTCGATGGTGATAGACAATTGTCACTCAAATCATGCCTGGAACCTGCAAATGGTAAGAAATAATATCATATGATTAAATATGTGAAAATATATCTAGTTATAATTGAAAAATGACAGTCACTTTTAAAATGCAACAGTTTGCATAATCAGGATTCTAAATGTATTTAAAAAGGTTTTAAAAGTCCTAGTGAATGTTTAACAGTAATTTCTGAGACAAAAACATAAATTTTAAATATGTGCATACAGTATGTATGAAACAAAATCTGCACCTGAATCTGAAGAAATGTGCAATGTTTAGAAATAGATCAATGAATTCTAACATATTTTGCAAAATCCCAATCCTGATTTTTGGGGGAATGTCACTTGTTATTACATAGGTTCTGCTTACACATCTGTGGCTAAAGATTAGTAGTATAACCTTGCTTATGTACAAAACAATTGTAGTGCTTGGCGTTATAGGGCGCCAAGGAGCCAGAGTCTCGACAGGAAGAACTGGACAAGACACAAGTCAGGTTTGGGTTACAAGCTGAAGAAAGTTCCCAAGTCTTGCCCACACATACACACACCGTGCACAAGCAGTGTACATGTAACCCTACTTTCCCCAATGGTGGCTATTGGAGATGTTATAAGTGATTATTTTCTTATAAGCCAAGAATGAATTTCTTCAAAAACTCATAAGTTTTCTAAGATTCCCTAAAATTTTCTGTTCTACTGATATATAAAACATAAACCACCAAAACTGTGGACTTTTTGGGACAATTCTTTCGTTCGGTTGATATGGTGGCATGTGACGTGCTCTCAGCCCTCGCTTGGCCGTGGCCGGCTGGGCCCAGGGTTTTCCTTGGGCATGTTTTTGTGGTCAAAACCAACAATTGGTTTGATTGTTTCTTTTTGGTAAATCGCTTCGCTTTGACGATTTGAATACTACATCATGACAGTTAATTCTTACCCAATTAAAATTACTGAAGAATTACTGCCAAACCAATTCTTGGTTAAGACCACCAAACCGCACCCCTGTTTGACCACATAATCATTCTTTTTGATTGCTTGAGGGTACACCATTTTGAATATTAAAATGTTTGAGCGTAAAAAACAGTTTAAAAATATTTTTGTGCTTTGGTCTTTTTATTTCTGACTTTTCCTTTTTTTACCTTTTTAAAAAATTCGAGTGAGATTGAGAGGCACATTTCTAGCACCGCACCAGGCCAGCATAATTGGGCAGTCAGCATGTGAGCGGCGATTACACAAAGGATTTTTTTGTGGTTTTGTGGAAAAGGGACTGAGAAAAACATGCCGACATACATGTATACGAAATGACGACTTATAAATGCTGACTTGAAATGAAATTTTCAATGGAAATGCATTACAGACGATCAGGACTTTTGTCAGACGGCCGACCTGGATGATATGACAGGTTACACAATGTCGACTCAGTCAGAGTTTACTGTAAAACCTATTCTCTTGGTGGGAACGAAGAATTTCTTTGAGATAAGCTGAGTTTCGAGTTAACTGACTTTGAGTTATCAAGAGTTTATTGTACCTCTCACCTGTATGAACATCTCCGTTGATGGGACCATTGCCTTGAGGTTGTGGGGTACCATTGATGGGCAGAGTACCATCTGGAGGAGGGCCATCATAGAATTTCCACTTTTCCTCCTCACGGATTGGAAGTGGTTCATTAACAGCCTCAAAGAATGGACCCATAGCCTTCAAGAAAGTGCTGACTTCCTCAGAGATTGGCATTGTCTCAACAATCTAAGGATGACAATCAACATGTCTTTTACAACCTCCACATTGCCTATCTGTGTCTGATCTTTCTGGAGACCCAACCTGGTAAGTGTTGGATCTTTCTAATATCTGTACATTAACAATCCCACTGTCAACTGGCTGACTCCAAAACGGAATGAAATTATTTAACGTTCAAGGAAAATATGTGGCAATACTACATGTGCCTTGTCGGGAGTTTCCTGTTTCAATCATTCAGTCTTTCTTGTATTTTTTAGGATCATGCTCACCGAGCGCTTTGTGTATGTTCAAGCAACCTACATGCATATCACATTTTGAAATGAAAGAGTTAGAGAGTCTGATAGTTGAATACAAGCTGAATCTTTCTCCACTTGAGGGAAAATAACAAGGACATTGTAACAGTCTACAATCCGGGACAAAATAGTTGGAACACCTTGTGGGAAACGCGGTGATAACATCTCCCCTCTCCCCCATTCAATGTTGCAGTCGTTTATTGGACCAAGATTCCGTCCAGCTTACCCAATGACAAACAACATTGACAGGGGGCGAGGGGGAGGCATGTTCCAGCGAGATTTGTCCAGGATTATAGCAAGGCCGGTATTGACCAAGCAAAGATGTAGATAACTATGTGTTTTGTTATTCATCCAAAGGCTTTTTGTGAGAGACAAGTTGTTAAATTCACAAACACTGAAAATATTGTGGTGCAGTGAAGTGTCAATGGGCTCTACATGTATGCATTCCACTACGTGAAATGACATGTTTCAAAGGATGAAAATGAAGATGATTCATGTACATGTACCAAGGACCTGCGGTGTCAAGTACAAATTGAGACTGCTTCTGTATAG